TTACGTGGGCGACACCAGCTGTGTCGACCAAACCTGGGCGACACGCCTAGTGTCGCACAAAATGTTTTTCCCAAAACTGCCCCCACTTAATTTTAGGGACTTTTGGGAACCAAATTTGGTTTTGCCATGTGATTTTATGAGTGTTTTCAAATATTTTTAATTAATTTTAATTAATTGTCAAAAATTTCAAATGCTCCTCGATGGCACGAGCCTAAACTGCCAACCAATTTTTCCAAAATCTAAAAAAAAAATAATAAAAAAAAAACTGCTCGTTGGTGGCATGAGCTTAAACTGCCAACCAAATCCAATTCAGAAAACGTCAAACTCATGCGACGTAAAAGAGTCGAGACAAAAAAAAAAGTCAAACTCGTGCGATGTAAAAGAGCCAAGACAGGTATCGTCTAGCCCCGTATGACGCAAAAGGTCGGGTGTATCCAGGGCACAACCATCCTCTTCAATGGAAAAACATCAAACTCGTATGATGTAAAAGAGCCGAGACAGGTACTGTCTAGCCCTGTATGACACAAAAGGTCGAGTGTATCCAGTTCAACGTCAAACTCATACGACGTAAAAGAGCCGAGGCATGTATTCCGTCGATCCCCGTATGACGTAAAGGGGTCGGGTGTATTCCGTCTATCCCCGTATGACGTAAAAGGGTCGGGTGTATTCCGTCTAGGCCTGTATGACGTAAAAGGGTCGGGTGTATGGTTCATCGTTGCATGACGCTAAACGGCTTAGAGGGATCTATGGTTGCAGGAGTTAAAACTGCTAACCATCCTTGTTTTTCGAAATATCTTTATCTTTTCAAAATTTTCACTATATGTCTTGTGTTTTCAAAATTTTAATTTCTTTATTAATCGTAACCTGTTCATGCTCCGGGTTCTATTTCAAATATCCCTATATCTTCAAAATTTCTAAAAATTCTTTTAAAAACAAAGGAGCTTGGACACCCATTTATGATGATTACCACGTTGCTGCCTTGTATCTCTCTTCGAAATCGGCTAGACATGTCTCTTCCTATAGAAAGCCTTTTCCTATAGACAACCTTAAGAAAGCTTAAGGAAATCAAAGAAGATGCCAGGGTTAAATTTCAAACATTGAAACCCATGAAGCGAAGTGGCATGACCAGAAAATCCAACTCGAGTTTCAAGCTTGTGTAACTCACCGACATCTCATGCCGAAAACCTTAGGAGGAAAACTGCCCTAGGTGGATGAGCTCGGTGAGCGCAATGACTTGGAGGGATTAGTTGGTGTGCCCTTTGACCACGTGGTGTCAGGAAGAAATTTAAAATGTCCGGATTACCTTTGACGTTCACCTACCTCTCGAAGGACAGGGAACGCCAAAGTGTCTACTTTTTTGCTATTCACCTATTCCCCGAAGGACAGGGAGTGCTAGTAAAACCAAATCCACAGTTCACATAGCCTACCCTGTGACCCGGAGTCAGTCTGCCTGCCCGGAACACTGCAGAAGCCCTGTTTTGACCTAGAATCTTATAGATGCCCTGTTTTACCAAAACGATCATTAAAAATAGTTAAAACTCCGTTTTGACCCAAATTTTACCTGAGAGCTTCACAAGAGGTTGAGGAACACACCTGAAAATAAAAATTTGAATTTGGACATTGTTTGGTTTGGGCGACACTAGCAGTGTCGCCCAGCCCAGACTGGTGTCGCCTAGAACTTTTTGCCCCAAATTGGAATTTTATTTCCCTTGTTGATTTTATTGCTTTTTTAGAGGGTTTTTATCAAAAAATTTTGGGCGACATTAGGAGTGTCGCTCAGATCTGTACCCCCGAAATTGAAATTTTTGGATGAAGATCTGTTGGTTATGGATATATATTCTTTCCAACAGATCCTTGACCCTATAAAGTCTCTTTTTCGTGGCCATTCAAAGGCATCTCTAGACGGCTTCAGAAGAGAATTGGAACCCTAGAGGATAGACTTGCTTCAGAAACCCTAGCCTCCTGAAACCCTAACCCTAAGCTTGAAAACCCTAAACCTAAGACCTAGGGCACAACAACCCTAGTTCTAAACCATCTCCACAGCACAACAAACCTTCTTCTACACTAGAGATCTAATGGTCGACATCTGAATCAGAGAGGCAAAGAGGATGCTGGTGTTGATATGGGTGAGCCCTCTAAGGCTCGGGAGTCCCAGGCCATCCGGCCCGGTTTGGTATTGTTTCTTCTTCTTTCTTTCTTCTTCTTTTACTGTTTTGATTCTATTTTATTTATTTTGATCTGTTAATTTACTTTAGCGAGTATTGATGCTCTGGATCATGCTGGCTCTGCCACAAATCTGAGAGCAGATCTGCTCGTTTCCGGGTGGATCTGGCCTCAGATCTGAATTTGATTTGTCCCACTTTCTCTACTACTACATTTTCATCAGTTTAAGGTATCAAAATTCGAGAGATCTTCGTCGGAAGATCTGTCAAATTTTCATCGTAAACACCCACCACTTATGAAGAAGCTTCCTCTGACACTGGGTGGCCTCAATAAAAGAAGAGATCAATGCACTTAAAAGGAGTCATACATAGGAACTAGTGTCATTGCCTCTAGGAAAAAATATTGTGGGCTGAAAATTGGTGTACAAAGTTTAGGTCAGATTAGATGGCTTAGTTGAAAGCTTGAAGTCCAGATTGGTGGCTAAGCGGTTTAGCCAAGAATATGGGATTGATTATGATGAGACCTTCACAATGAAGGCACTCACTATTCGATGCTTCTAGTCTCAGTCATTTATGTTTAATTGCAAATTCCATCAACTTGAGGTGAAAAAAGTATTTCTTCATGGTGATTTGAAAGAAGAAGTGAACAACCCAAAGGATTTGAAGATCCCTCATGGCCACATCATGTCTACAAATTAAAAAAAGTGATTTATGGACTCAAGCAAGCACCTCAGCCATGGTTTGAAAAATTCAGCTATCAACTCTATAGTATTGGTTTTCAAACAAGCAAGGTTGACTATTCTTTATTTTTAAAAAGATCATCCTCATGTATTATCCTCATTCTAATTTACGTGGATGACATCATTGTTACTGAAAATGATCTTAAGCTCTGATGCTGAAATGGGAAGGATGCCCTAATGATTGTAGGTCCATTACATGATTTTGTATATTCTTGAGAAGGAGTCTCAATTCTTGGAGTAGCAAAAAACATGCCTCATTATCAAATCCAGTACTGAGTCAGAATATAAAGCAGTGAGTATTTCTGCGACAAAAATTACTTGGCTACGTATGCTTATTAAGGAGTTGGTGTTTCCATAATTAAGCCAACAATTCTAGCTTGTGACAATCAAAGTGCTATGCGACTAGCCACAAATCCTATCTTCTATGCTCACACTAAACACATAGAAGTTGACTATCATTTAATCAAGAAAATGTTGTATCTGGTGTTATTTCCATGACCTTTGTTCTTTCATCCCACTAGTTGGCAGACATGTCTACTAAAGTCTGACAAGATCAAGACACCATGAGTCCACAAACAAGCTCTCAATGCACAAGATGCATGCTCGGCTTCAAGGGGATGCTAAGAGACAAACTGTATTTAGTGATATAATATAGGTCATTCTTTTATTCTTTATCCTCAAGGATAATTATGTCTATTGCATACGCGCGCACACACATAGACACTCACACACATGTGTAAACCGTGTGTGAGTCGAATGAATGAATATAATGGACGTGTTCTCTTCCACTCTCTCCCTCCTCTCCAGGGTTTCCATATTCTTACACTAATTAGACCTAGATTTCACTTGGTTAGGATGGTCCGGACGTGAGTCTATGAATATATTTTCTTTATTTTAAGACATATAAAAAAGATTGTATACAATGAGACCATTTATCTTAACTATAAGGAGGTGATAGTTATTCCTAACCATTAGATGTTAAACTAGACTGCTGGGTTGTGTCATATAATTAAAGTAATTTTTCTTTAGACTTTGAGTCTAGTCAAAACCACATAATTTAAAATATGAACACGATTAATTGTGACCTTTTTGTACTAAAAGTAATGAAAGAATATAAAGAAGCATATCTATTATATTTAGTATGCAATTCATCATCATCATCATCAGAACCTTAATGATGATTGTCAATCATTATCATCTTAGTATGTCATTTTATTATATGAAAAGGTATATACCTCATGCTAAAAGTAAAGAAATAATATAAAAAAGTATATATAATATATGTAGTATGCAATTCATCATCATATCATCAAATCCTACATGAATGACATCATCTTAGCATGCCATTATATTAAATGAAAATGTATATAACAAGATCATTTATTTTTTTTGGTACAGATAGGCCACAAAAACTCTCATCAGATTTCAAATCAGGTAATGGTAAAGGTATCATTAACTAGATCCAAAGTTAAAAAAAAAAAAAAAAAAAGAAAGCCAGACAAATCCAAGCTATTTAATTTAACATCTAATAATTAGAAATAGTTGTGACCTCCTTGTAACAAAGATAAATAATCTAATAGTATGCAACCCAATCTGACCCAACCTGATCTGTTTTGATTGAAAACAAACCCAATCCCAATCTCAATATAAGGTAGTGTCCACGTCTGATGGACTTGGGTCCACTGACCAAGTCAGTTCCTGGACCTAGATCCGGTTGGGTTGGCGGTCCGACCGAACCGATTCCCACCCCTAAATGGCTTTCTTCCCATCTTCTCGAAGGCCTCATGAATTAAAGTCCTCCATGTCTATATATCGTTTGATCATAGCCATGCATTTGCCCAACCGAGGGTAGCTGCTGTCAATACGTATTTTGCGGCGCCCCCCACGTTTTTCTGAAATTTGAAACTCACAACGTCAAAATCATTTGATAACGGCCTCACTTCATTTTTCCAGGATTATAAAGACTTATTATCACACTGTGGAAGCGCATGGCATAGTATTGAGAGAAAGAGACAGACCATTCCTTAAACCAAAAATGGAGTGGTCTGCTCTCCCGCATCGCCTCTCTCCCTTCCCACCAAACTTTCCCGTAATAGAAATGGTTGAGTCCTCCTTCTTCTCTGGCAAGTTCTCGCCAGATTCCAGTGATATTGTCGGAATTCCTCTATTTGATGAGCTCTTCCTCAATTCTCTGGCGCCAAATTCGGTAAAAAATGTAGAGATTCCTCAATTCGACAATCTCTTCAATAATTCTTTGGTGTCTGATTCCGGCGCAGTTGAAGAGATTTCGCAGTTTGATGAGCTCCTATATGATTTCCCAGTGCCGGATTCGACCGAGTTTCGTGAAATCGAAGAGATGGATTTTGACCTGGTTGTGCCCAAGCCAGAAGGTTCATTGAGCTATGAAACTAAAATTTTACAGCTTCACTCTCGGATAATGAATTCTCCCTCAGATTTGCAAGAACGAGAATATGTACTCCAAAAAAATATGGAAATCAGTCAAAATCAGGAAGCTGTGTCCCTCCATGACTCACCAGATTTGTCAGGCAGAGATTCAGATTCTGGCGGTGAAATCTCGCCGGAAAATGACGATTCCAGCAACCATGAAGACGAGGAGAAGGGATTTCTTTTGCTCCACCTTTTGGTTGCAGCAGCCGAGGCTATATCGAATGAGAGCAACGATGTAGCCGATGTACTTCTTCAAAGGCTCAGAAAGCTTGTGTCTTGCTCAGGAACCCCAATCACACGCGTCGCATTCTACCTTTTCCATGGATTGCAGTGGCTTTTCACTGGCAAAAACGAGCTCTCAGACCTAAAATCAGATGATCGATTTAACGAAGAGAACCATCTGTTAGCATATAGGGCTCTCATCGAGTTGCACCCGTGTTCTAGAATGGCTCACTTCACAGCGAACCAGTTCATTCTTGATTCGATCAGCAGTGATACCAGAAAGCTTCATGTGATAGACTTTGATATAATGGATGGCTTGCAATGGCCGCCATTAATGGAAGCTCTAGCCTCTGAACCTCGTTGCTCTAAGTTCAAAAGCATCAAAATAACCGCCATTAAATGGAAGGAGAGCTCTGGATTATTGACAGGTAAGTGGCTCAAGGAATTTGCTCAAGACCTCGGCTTCAGATTCTCTTTCGAAGAAATGGAGCTCCAAAATCTCATAAATCATCATCAAAAAATCTACAGGGAAGAAGTCATGAGCCCATCAGAAGAAGAAGAGGAAATACAGATAGTGAACTGCATGTTCAAGCTTTTGCACATGTGTGACCGCAGCATGTGGCCGCTTTCGAATCTCATCGAAGCTTCAAAGAAGCTGAAGCCGCGGCTGCTGGTTCTCGGCCACTGCAATGGCGAATTGCGGAAAGAAATTTCGGGGGATTTCGTTAGCAGGTTTTCGGATTGTTTGCAGTGGGCTTCGGCGATATGCGACTCTCTGGAGTGGATCCTTCCAACACAGAGAGGTGGGAGGGAGCTGGTGGAGCGGTCGTTTCTCGGGCCGAAATTTTGCCGAGAAGTCATGTTTGGGGAGAGAGGGAAGCTTGCGGCCAAATTTAACGAAACTAACGGGTTCAGAGCGGCGAAACTAAGCGAGCGAAATGTTAATCAAGCGAACGAAATATTGCGGCTGAGAGCGAGCCACAGTTTCGGCGTGGAAGTGGCAGAAGGGGACAACGAGCTGGCTCTGACGTGGGGCTCCACAACCCTGTTATCCGTGTCGGCTTGGTACGTGTCCTAGAAGGCATGTCGAAATCTAAGTCGTGCAGAGCGTGTGAAGGCACCGCTAATTGTCGAGCGTTGGAGTCCGTGTCAAGTCTTGAATAATGGATTAACCTTGCCATAAATGTATTTAAAAATCATTTTATTAACTCATTCCCCACCATCGCATGTTAATGTTCTATTTGTACCTCATGCAAACCAACGCATGTTGATGTTCTTTTTGTATCTCATGCAATGGTTGTATCACGGTATAATGCAATCATACTTTTAGAAAATTATGTTTGTGGCATTTGCATGACTCAAAATTTAGATACGGTTAAAATGAGTCCCCTCCACACTTTTAGAAAACTATATTTGTCGTATTTGTATGACCTAAAATTTATATACGGTTAAAAATGAGTTTTATCCAATAACAGATCTAGACTGTTTATTTGGTGAATTTCAAGATATTAGTTCTTATAAATTCAAAATCATTTTTTTTTTTTAACATTGTTTATCTGACGATAATAAAACTATCTAAAATAATTAGAAAAGAAAAAGTCCTTCTAAGGTCTAGATCTAAGCATCTTATCAAAATGGATGACTTATGTTAATTGAGCTAAAAAAGTACTTTCTGGGTTGCATTTTCAAATTTTTATTTTTTGTAATTGTTCATTAGAATGAAAAGAGATTTCGATCAAACAAATGGGCTTAACATGGTTTTAGACGATTGTTGCATTACACTATACAACCGTTGCATGAAATCACTGCCCTATAAAAAGAAAGATACGACTTTGGTGAGTCAACCGAGTCATCTATTACCGTGTACTCCCTTGTATATCTAATATGATGTAGGTTGACAACAAAAAATGAATTCTATGAAATAAATGTTGGAGATAATAAATATATCGATTGGTCAATAAAATAAATGTATCCACCAAATTTCATGTCTAATGGTCAAGATTAATTGTGAGTACCCTGTATCTCTTTTCCAAAATGTAGAAAGTCCAGCCCTATTTTTCCTTGAAGAAAATAATGTACGATGCGTGCATTTAAAATAAAAACAAATATAATACAACGGTGAGGTTTGCACAAGGTGGCAGCATTAAGCAATGAAAGTAAGGCGCACCTTCAAATTTTGTCATAACATACAATTTTAGTGTCGAAAAGTTTTAAGAAGGCCTGATAATTTATTTTCATCTTTAATTATAAAATTTTAAACTTCAAATATTGGTCAAATAAAGCAGATCTATAAAAACATGAAAATCTTGAAAATGAACGTTCCGAATAATTTGTTGTAAAATGAACTACTTTTGAGACTTGAAATTTTTTATTTATCTATATTTATATATCTCGAGACAATCAATTAAATGGTTTTCTAACGACCAAATAACATTTTCTCATAGATTTTTCAGTGTACCTTGATTCTAGAGTTTTAAGGTGACAATCTTTTTATACACTTTTTCCGGAATACAATGCGTGCCAAGAAAATGAAGTAGCCTGAGCACATATCTCTTCGTTGTTGACGTTCCGAGTGCTAGAAGTCTCCCTCATCGACTTGTAAAATCCATTGCCAAGACCAAGCAAATGATTCGCAGATGCTTTCCTCCAAATGTCAAAAGTCTAGCCCCGTTTTGTCATGAAGAAATGAAATAAATTTATATAGCCATCATAGAAATATCACTTTCTGGATTGACTGCGAAGTCTCTATCGTAGAGTTCATTTACTTCTGTCTTATTTAAAAAATAAAACCATTATACCAATAAGAAAAATAGAAGGTTTATATAAGCGCGAGGCTCTAAGCAATCAAATTAGGACGCACCTCAAAAATTTTACTAAAAGAGGTTGTTTTGATCTCCGAATATCCTCAAATTGATAATCTCGACCTCAATGTACATAGATATGAGAAAAAAATTGCTCGAATTTTGAAAATAGTGGATCTTGTAAATATTTTTGGACCGTCAATTTTCAAGTTTTCATAGATCCGCTCTATCTAGACTATTTTTAAAGCTTTAAATTTTATAATTATGGATGAAAATATATTTTAAAGCTATCACAAAGATTTCCAATATTGAAGCCATATTTTTCGACACTATTTGAAGGTGTGCTCTACTTTAATTATTTAAAGCCTCGTCCTTATACAAACCACTCATACAACGGTGAGGTTAGCATAATGTTGCAACATTAAGCAATCAAAGTAAGATGCACCACCAAACTTTGTCATAAGATGCAATTTTGGTGTAAAAAAAAAAAAGATGGCCCGTTAAATCTATTTTTATATCTAATTACAAATTTTAAACTCCAAATATGAGTCAAATAAAATAGATCTGTAAGCACATGAAAATCTTGAAAATGGACGTTCCAATTAATTTGCAGCAAGATGAACTATTTTTGAGACTTAAAATCTTTTTTGATCCATATCTATACATCTCAATGTCAAGAAGATCAATTAAATAGTTTTCTAATATAAAAATAGCATTTTCTATGACATTAGCCTTTTCTGATATATTTTTTTATGTAACTTGATTCCACAGTTTAAGGTATCAACCTTATATACACTCTTTCCATAATTAGGGGGGCAACGGTCAAGTCCTGCTAGATCCAGACCTAGATTTGAACAGTATTCGGGTTCAAATTTTGATCTCGGAACCGACCTTTTGGGTTCGAAATTTGGACTTATACCCGGACCCGAGGTCAGGTCTACTGTAGAGTCCTTGGTTTGGTCGGGTCCATTGCCACCTATGACTATAAGTTTCATTTTTTTTTTTCCCATTTTTCTACCATCGTATACCTATATTATTAACAACATTTCAGTATTGCACAACATTTATAATTTTCTGTAACAATTGAAAATTCCTAAGAAACAAATGCATTGATAATGGCAACATTTATGAGTACCCACAAATACCATATTATTTGGGACCCGGACCTAAATAGTACTCGGTTCTAAGTTTTGGACCCAAACACGACTTTTAATTCCAAAATTTTGGCCCATAGACGGACCCGAGGTCAGGTGTACCTGTCGGGTATTGGCTCTGATCGGGTCCACATCCCTATCCATAATACAATGCGTGCCAAGAAAATGATGTACCCTGAGCACATATCTCTTCGTTGGTGACATCCAAAGTTCTAGAAGTCTCCCTCATCGACTTGTAAATCCATTGCCAATATCAATTACAACTTACCAAGAAGGTGAAACTCAGAGGGAAATAGCAAGACTTCGATTTCAAAGTATTGAAGTTTTGCCTTGTGATCATCAGCATCATTGCAGCCCACAAAATGCTGTTCTATGCAATGCAGGTTAGTTTAATCGCCAACAAAATTTCCGTTGATCATGTCAAAGTCAATAGATAAAAAAAACAATTATATTAAATGACGATTTATTTTTGAAGTAAGAAGGTCAATAATAAAATGAAATTTGCCAATAGATAGGAATCGGGTTTGGGCTTGAGTGAAAGGGCAACTCTGGTAACTTTCTGTAGATTATATTGAAAATTAGGGTCGAAAACTTGGGTTTTCAAATTGCTAGTACTTTCAAATAGATTATGTTGAAAATCAGGGTTTCCAAAGATTTTGACTTGAAAGGAAGGTTTTGATTTGTGATAGGATTTGAAATTAGGTCTTTAATTTTTTTGTAAATTTAAGTAGATTATACTAAAAAATTTCGTATATCCAGGCAGGGTTTTGATTTGAAATCATGTTTTTTTTAATCATATTACTCCTACAGTGATTATACTAATTATATGTTAATTACACTATACTGCTAAATGATCATATAATTTTGCATATATATTATTTGTATTGATTATATACTCTATATATTGAAAATTACTGTATTTTATTTTTATACTGATTCTTTGATCACACAGATCAAGGTTTAAAAACTCATCGAGTCGAGCCGAACTCCCCCGGTTCGACTCGAGAATGGGCAGACACCGTGCCGGTTCCACTACAAAAATCGCCCGTGTCCAGAGAGAACTGGGCGATTCCCAATAGTGAATCGCCGAGTCTGACCGAGTCTCGCCCAAGAACACGGGCTGCATAGTGTTCCTCACGGATTTCATCTTTTTTTGCCATTTTGTTATCATTTTTCATCTTTTTCAACCTTATAATCGAATCTTGCAGGATTTAATTCAAATTTTTCTGCCATTTCAGTCAATAAAAGGTAGTACAAAGCACCGATTTTGATCACAAAATTTTGGAGCGAATAGTGCGTTCCACCATTTCACTAATTTGAAGCGAAAGAGGGCATCATTTTTTATAAAATTTCAGGGCGATTGATTGTAAGAGTGTTGTTCAGAAGTTTTTGTTCATAATTTTTGATTATTTTGGAGGAATACATATCAATTTTGAGTTTGAAGGCATGGGTGCATGAAAAACAGGTAAGAACTGTATTTTTTTTTTTTTCCCTCCATTCTATCAAATTCAGTCAATATTTTGCAAATCATGTGTTAAATTCTTAGGGTTTGGATTCGTTATCATGTTGTTTATCATCACATATATTCAATTTGATTATATTTATTCAATTTGAGTTGGATTTTTGAGAAAACAAGACTGATGTCTGTGAAAAAAAATGGAATGAGTTTTTTTTTTTTTTTCCGCTATTCTCTCAATTTCAGTAAATATTTTGCAAATAATGTGTTAAATTTATAGGGTATTGATTCGTTATAGTGTTATTTATCATCACATGTATTCAATTTGATCTGATTTATTCAATTTGAGTTTGATTTTTGAGATTGAATGGCTGATGTCTGTGAAGAACTGCGTTTTTTTTTTTCCCTCAATTCAATCGATTTTATTTAATATTTTGATAATAATGTGTTAATATTATAGGGCTTTGATTCCTTATAGTGTTGTTTATCAAAACATATATTCAATTTGATGTAATTTATTCGATTTGAGGAGGATTTTTGAGTTGGAATGACTGATGTTTGGTGGGTATGAGAAGAACTGCGTTTTTTTTTTTTTTTAATTCATGATCAATTTTTTTGAAAAATCGGGATTTTTCAAAAAATTGTGACTAGGTTTTTATTATCATGA